CCCAGGAGCACCCTCATGAAGGGAACCATGGCAGAAGAGACCTCTGGAAGATAACTCAATCTCTGAGCTATAGCTGGACCATTGCGGGGCACCTAGACTACTCTCCACTGCTGGGCTCAGGCTGGTAACTGGACCACCCTACAACTGACCTTCAGCAGCAATGCCCATCTTTGTGATTAGCAGCCTTATTGTCAAGAACCTTCTCTGTGCCACAAGAAGGTCCACCTTCCTGACCACTAGTCACAAGGACAAGCTTGGAGAGCATTTAAAAGGCAGACCATCACAGACTCCAAGGTACTCATGGAGAAGATGGCTGTGAGGAAGAGTGAGAAAGAGACCCTTGTATCTGTTTAATGTCCTTGAAGTGACAGGCACAGTGCAGGGCACTGTTTCAAAAAACGTTTGGTTTTCCATACTAGTTCTGTTAGATAGGGGCAATTGATTCCTATTTTACAAATGCAGAAAGTGAGGCTCAGAGAGGCCTTGGGCCCCAGAGCTAATAAGCAGCAGAGCTAGTTCTGGAACCCAAGTCTGTCTGACCCCACAGCCTGTGCTCCCTCCTCTCCACAGCTCTTCACAGCCTCCCTCCCAGTCTCACACTCCCTGATGCGCTGCTTCCCTACCAAGAGAGGGGCTCCTCTAGCCTTTGGTCCATTTAGAAGAATGAAGGGCCAGTGGCAGGAGGTTTGCCAGGGTGGGCTGGGAAGACTTTCATAGACTGCAGGAACTCTAGCATCCCACAGCTACAGAACAAAGGAGCCCTCAGAAGTTTTAGCTACGCTGGCAACAGTGATTTGACCATTGGCTACATTAACAAAAGTAGAATACTTAGAATGAGGGAGGTGGTAACATCAGAACATACATCCTCTGTTCAGTGCTCATTTGTGAATTCTCCATTTCAAGGGGGAATTGAAACTAGATTACTTAGAGAAACTCTCCGATGAGAATAACACTAAAAGCAGTTTGAGGCCAACACTGTTGGTCACTCACCCAGCCATTCCTCCTCTTTTTTCTCACAAACCAAACCCTGATTCAACCCACCATGGGGGGAGGGGGAACACAAAGGACGAAGGGGGATGTGCAAGGGATGTTTGGCTCTTCTCCAGGTCCAGGAGTTCAGTCTTGACTAGTCCTTCTTTCCCCCTTACCAGGGTTTGATTTAGAGTGAGCATAAAACACAACTTTAGCTCAGGAGATGTGAGGGGAAGTCTCTTTGGAGCTCCTGGGAAAGGTTTTCTCATCTTAAAAATGACCCCAGGTACTAACATACTTTCTTTCTTCCTTCTTTCCTTTGGGTATTGTCTTATGCATCAGTGGAGCAAGGACAAAAGGGACCTCGACTAAGGTGGGCCCTCCTGGTTTCATTGAGCTACCCATCTACCCTGGAACCACAAGCTTCCTGACTTCTGAGCACCTTGTCATTTAACATAATAATAATAGCTCCATTTCTTGAGCCATTTGGAATTAGATCTTCATTACTTGCTGCTAAAAGCATCCTAACTGATCTACTATTTTTATGAGGAACAAGAAGGGCCAAATTTTTTGGATATGTAAAGGTCTGCCCTGCAAGGAGAAATTCAACTTGCTTTTTGTCTAGGATCACAGCTTTTGGGACCCTTGATTAAAAAAAAAACCAAAAACCACAGCTTTCTAATTGGCAGACTCATCCAAAGGTGTTATGAGTTGTTTGGGGAAGCAGGCCCCTGCAATTGGATGACCATCAGAAGAGACTTTTGTAGGAAAATGAAAACAGCTTATGTGTTATAATTCTTTGGGAAAGACTGGGATTTTCAGAAAAGACAATATGTTTAACATTTATCTAGGAAGATGGTAAGAAAAGGAGAAAACAAAGGTAAGGTAACAAGTAGGAGGCAGACAAGAAAAATCTTCACTGCCACTGTGTGTTGTGGCATTTAAAAGACAAGACTGTTAGGAACTAGGGCTAGATGAGCGTTCCTAGATACGACAACCGAGGCAATGTTACTGATAAAAGAAAAGGTGATTACTTGGATTTCATCGAAGTATTCATTGTATTATATAAAAGACTCTGTTATTGTTATTAACTGCCGTCAAGTCAGTTCCGACTCATACTAACCCTGAATAGGGTTTCTGAAGAGTGGCTGGTGAGTTTGAACCACCAACCTTGCTGTTCAAACTGACCTTGCCATCCAGTGCTTATCCTATAGTGCCACACCCCTGTTTTGTTGTTGTTAAGTACTGTGGAGTCGGTTCTGACTCAGTGATTCTGCACAGGTTTCCGAGGCTGTAAAGACAAGCTACAGACTAGAATGAGAAAATATTTACAAACCATATATCTGACAAAAGATATATCTAGAATATACAAAGAACACTCAAAACAATAGTAAAGACTCAAACAATCCATTTAGAAATGGGCAAAAGACCTGAACAAATAATTCATCAAAGGGGATCTATAGCTGGCACATAAGTACATGAAAAGATGTTCAACATTATTAGCCACTGTTGTTAGGTATCACAACAATGAAGGGAGAAGAGTGGAGAGTGGGACCCCACCCAGAGAAACAGTGATGCCTGAGATGGAGGCAGAGACAATGATGTGGAGAGATGGAGCAGTTGGGGACTTTAGACACAAGGAGGGAGAGGGGCTGTGTGCTGACGACCGGGGGACAGGCTTTTAGTGTATACCCTTTGGTTGGTTGATGATACATGGAGGGGATTGTAACCATGGCAATGAAATGATATACGATAGAATGAATGTAAAACTAATGTTCTCCCATGTAAACTATCACATAATTCACAATAAAACATTAAAAAAAAAAAAAAAACCACAATGAGATATCACACACAACTCAACTGAAAACTAGTGGCCTCACTAAATGCCAGTGAGGGCACAGAAAAACTGTGATGCAGACACTGCTAGTGGGTGCATAAATGGTAAAGATATCTAGGAATGTAGTTTGGCAGTTTGTTTTTGTTTTTTTAAACTAAACATACTTAAAGGAGCCCTAGTTGTGCTGTAGGATAAGCACTGGACTGTTAACTACAAGAGTGGCAATTAAAACCCACCAGCAGCTCTACAGGAAACCTTATTTATGAGTAGGAAGCAACTTGACAGCAGAAGGTGGGTGAGTTTAAACATACACTTATCCAAACACCCACCAACTGTACTCCTAGATGGGTAGCCCAGAAAAATGAAAACATATGTTCACATAAAAACGTGTATACAAGTGTGCTGTAGCTTTATTTGAAATAGTCAAAAAAATTGAAAACCACCCAAATGTTCTTCAGTGAGTAATTCCATAATTCCATGGACTACTACTCAGCAATAAACAAGAAAGAACCACTGCTAGGTAGATCCCAAAGACTTGAAAGCAGAGACTCAGAGACCTGCCCATCAGTGCTCATTGTAGCACAATTGACAAGAACCAAAAGGTAGAAACAATCTACAGCCCATCAACAGATAAATGGATCAACAAAACATGGTGCATACAATGGGATACTACTGTTGAGTTGGTGTTATGTTTTTCTGTGTATATTCTTAACAACAACAAAATAAATATAATTTAAAGAAAAGAAAATGAACATTGTTACACCCAACTTCAATGAATCTCAAAGGAATTATGCTAAATTTTAAGAAAAACCATGCTCTGTTGCTAAGTCTACTCCTAATATTATTGGTAATATTTAACTTTCTCAGAAGTCTGAGAATCATCTTTCATGATTTATACTTTTACTTATGGGGATTTACTGTGAGACTAGAAGATCTTGTCTATTTTATTAATCAAAGTATAATATTTTTTCATTGTCTCAATATTTATCATCTATTCTGTTCAAATATTAAAATATTATCAAATATAAAAAAAGCAAAGCTATCCTCAAAGGGTCACATACTATATGTTTCCATTTATATAACATCTTCAAGATGATAAAATTATGGCGCTGGAGAGCAGATTAGTGGTTGCCAGGGTAAGGGGTGTGAGGAGAAGGATGAGGAGATGCAGATGGCAATCAGGGGCAGGGGGTCATGGTGCTGACAGAATGAACAGTTTTGTATTTTGAGTGGTGATTATTATACAAATCGACACATGATAAAACTGCATAGAACTAGACACACAAACACAAATGAGTGCATGTAAAACTGGTGAAATCTGAACCAGTTCTGTGGATTATACCAATGCCAATTTTCTAGCTTTGGTATTATACTATAGTCTATATAAGATGTTAGGGAAACCTATAGTGCAAATGGTTAAAACACCAGGCTGCTAACTGAAAGGCAGGCAGTTCAAACCCACCCAGTAGCTCTGTAGAAGAAAGACCTGGTGATGTGCATAAAGACTGCAGTCAAGAAATCACTATGGTGCAGTTCTACTCTTGTCACATGGGGTCGATATGAGTTAAAATGGACTCAGTGGCATCTAACAACAATAGTAATATAAGATGTTACACCGGTACCTCTCTGTCCTAGCTTTGTAATCTGTGACTGTAATTCATTTCAATAAAAAAGCTGGAAATTTAATAAAACAGCAAATAATCAGATGGGAATGTGTGAAACCTGCCAAGACAGAGAATCGTGAATAAAATCTGAATGCATTTCAGTTATTCTCTACAATTCTTTTTATGCATCTATAAGCCATCTTCAAATTTTATTAAAAAGAAAAAATAATAATCCATGAGGCTAGATGGGACTTTATGTTGCCACATAGTCAGGAGCTCCTCAGAGAACAGAGTATCAAAATCCAAATTGTTGCCACTATAATAAATTCTACGGGAAGCTATTTACCTAGAATAAATGACTTTTAGAAGTCTTTCCTCGGGCTGCCCAAAGTGATTCCACCACATGAAGAGGGCACCATAGCCAAGGCTGCCAGTGGGCTTTGGGGCAGGTTTCCTTCCCAGTCTCCTCCAGGACTACTCAGTCAGTCAACTGAAGGAAAGGCTGGCTCAGCCAGCTTTCTTATGCCTCCCTGGCTGCTCCGGTCCCATTCCCACTGGAAGCCATTGTAGGCTCAGGAATCTCTTACCTGTTGAGGTCCCAGATTCTTAGGGGTGAGAAGTGCCCACAGCAAGCTGTCCCTGTCACAAAAGAGCTGCAAAACAAAAGGAGAGCAAAGTTAGAACCTGACTTATCAGAACTTGTGGCAGAAATGGCTACACAATTGGAAGTACTGTCCTCATTTTCCAGGGAACCGTAGGGTTCAGACAGAATGAGAGAAGTAGCCAAGAGGGCTATCAGATGAGTTGTAAGAAGACAGCTGGGTACACGGTGAGGGTTGAACCCTCCAGGGCTGCCTGGTCAGAGAACCCACAGGTTCAAGGTTACCAGCCTGCTGCTCAGCCTGAGTGATGTGGTCTCTACTCACCACAAAAGCAGAATCTTTAGATGGGCAACTCTGAGTTCAAGGTGAACGAGCCCACCAGGCTTGAATGCATGAACCCTAAAACACAATGCCCGTGGCACACAAGAGGTCTCCTGTGATAGGGAGGTACAGGCTGGAAGGAGCTGTCCTGCTTGGAAGGAGGAGTGACTGGGGACACTATTGAAGATTTTAAAAGCTGAGAGAAGCTGGTAAAAAAAAAAATCACAGGGCAGGTGTAAAGGCTCCAGCCTTGGAAAAAGGAAAATATGAAAGGTGAATAAATTCCATGGATGGTAGTGGGGAAAATGGGGAACATGAGGGGTCAGTCAGCTGGGTTGCTGGGAGAAGATACTTCAGATGCTACCATGAGGCAGAGTACCGCCTAAACCCCACAAAAGGTCAACATGTACAATCAGCACCATGTAATTTTCAAGTGGAGGCCCAAGCCCAGTGTGAATGATCAAGTGCAGTCAGCCAGGTTGGCCATGGTGCTAGGACTAGAACTTGAACCTAACTAGACCATTCCTTTGTTAGAGGATTTGGCAGGGGTAGAGAGGGGAAGCCTTGGGCTTGAAAACCTAAACAGTGAGCAAACTGGAAGTTACCCTGTCATTCAGGAGCCCTGGGGCAGGGATGGGCCATGTCCCAGCATGCCTGGTAGCAGCAAGGGAGCTGAACAGACTAATGACCCCTTAACAACATAGGGGCAGCAGCCCATCTGCCCTGGCCCAGGCCAGCACCTGTGGCTCTCTGATTCAAGCATTGTGAATGGGGAGATGGATATCTGCAATGAGGCCTCTCAAGAAGCCAGTAGCTTTGTCTGTAGTGGAGAGTTTGGCCCAGCAGTTACTGAAGGAGGAGATGTCACGGCAGGTAAAGAACCAAGCCACTACTGGCTTACAATCAAAATTGCAGAGCAGTGTCTACTTTTCAACCACAGGCTTATAATACGGCCAGATAAGCCACTCTGGGGTTTCCATGCCTCAAGTCAAGACTTCCTCTTGGGACAGTTCCCTTTGGACACAGGACTACCAGCAGCCACTAAACTGTGGAGTGGCAATGCCAACACAAGTCATGCCTTCATGCCTCAGATGACTCCCAGCCTGGGAAGCAGTCACTGGACACTGAAGCCCCAAACTACAAAGCCAAGAGGTGTTGCCCTCCCCCCAACATTTTTCTCCTTTGGGTAATCCATTAATAACTGGTAAAGCCAATTACCGTGGGTTGGAAACATAATAGCCACTTGGAAATCATTCGAGCGGGCAATTGGGCTCTCTAGACTTTTGGGGGGGGGGGAGGGCGGGTGAGGGGCGCCAGCACAGACACACAGACATCTCTTGAGGAGGCTTGTGGCAGGCCCCTAACTGGCCACAGGCCTAAATTAGCGTCAAGGTAAGTCAATAGAGAAGGAGTGGGAGGAACCTGGAACGTTAATCCCTGCCACTCCCCAGGCTCTGACCTCCCAGCAGGCTGGCTGCAGGCAGGAGAGCAAGGGCAGCTGTGAGCACCTTCCCAGGGACTCCTGCCCTCCTCTATTCCTGGCTCCTGTCCACCTGCTACCAAAGGAGGCGTGTCTCTCACCTTCTAGTGCCTCTCACTACTAAGGACTTTCTAAGCTGCCTGGATATGGCACCCTAACATTTCTTACTGAAGCTGCCCTTTTCCCTTGCCTGACCACGGGAAAGCAGAAAGAGAGAACAATGAGCCTGGCATGTAGGAGACTGTAGGGCTGAATCAAATGTGTTGTGTGCTTCCAAGTCGATTCTAACTCATAGCACCCCTCTAAGATTGAGTAAATCTTCCCTATAGGGTTTCTTATGCTATTATCTTTACTGGAGAAGCCCTGGTAGCATAGTGGGTCAGCATTGGACTGCTAATCCCAAGGTCAGCAGTTCAAATCCACTAGTCACTTCATGGGAGAAAGATGAGGCTTTCTGCACATATAAAGATTTACAGCCTCAGAAACCCTATACAGGGTTGCTATTGGTCAGAACAAACTTGTAACACACAGTAGCCGGGTTTTTTTCCTATGAAGCTGTTGGTGGATTTGAACTGTCGACCTTTCAGTCAGCAGACAAGTACTTAACCATAGTGTCACCAGGGGTCTTTTAATCAAATTTAACACTCAATAAAAACCATCTGAGCACAGTGAAGCGGATTTTTAGTCAGGTCCTGCAGGGGGAACCACACCAAGACTCATACACAAGTCATGGGGATGGGCCAGGACTCTGAGGGTCAGGCTGGCTACAGCCAACATGTGTGGCCATGCATGCCTCCTAATTCCTAGGGCCTTTAGGAAGCATGAGACAAAAGTCACATGCAGCGCAAAGATCTAAAAGGTATGTCCAGGTGCTGTCTCTCCAGAGCAGAGGAAGAGAATGGAATTCACTCCTCGGAACATTCAAAGGATGCCTCACATCCCATGATGAATCCATGGGATGGAGATTATTATTCCCATTACAGAAAAAGAAAACAAAGTGAAGCCAGACTCCCACGAATTTACCCCAAATGCTGTAGCTCTGTGCAGGACACTCATACCCATTCTTCAAGACAAACCAGATAAAGTGCTTTGAAAATGGGGCCAAGCAGGTGTGATTTGTGCCTTAGAGGTGGCTTTGCCACCTCACTTCTCTAACTTCCCTGGGTAATTGAGCTTGGGCATTATACCTTACTTTGATCTGCTTCATTCCTTCTGTTTGTTTTCCCCCACACCCCTAACTGGGCTGGCTCCTATGCTATGCATGCCAAAAGTGCTCCAAGAACACTTGAAGATGAAACTAAACGGAAACATGTTCCATCCCTTCCACAGCTCCTCCTAAAGACTGCTCAAAGAATCTTGCCCATTAAAAAGTCTCTGCAATAACTTCAGCTTAGGGTTTGAAGTTACTGAAAAATTCAATTCCTCTCAGAAAAGAAAAAAAATTCAAATGGCGTTTGCCTTTGGTCTCACCTGTGCTGAGGCAGGAGCTGGTGGCCCTCCAGGTGGGCTAACCATGCTTCCTCTGAGTCCTTGCCATATTTGCTCCCTCAGAGGACAAATGGCATTTTAGGTTTATCTGTCCATCTCCCCTTTGAGATCATGAACTATCTGAAGCGTATGGTGAACCGCAGTGCCTAGCAATGCCTCGTCCCAATGAGGTTCTCACTAACAAATCTGTAGAACTGAATCAAAAGTCAGCTAACTAAAAGGTCCAATCTACAGGCCACTCTGCAAGAGAAAAATGTGGCAGTCTGCTCCTGTAAAGATTTGTTGTTGTTGTTAAGTGCCATTGAGTAGATTCAGACTCATAGAGACCCTGTACAGGGTCTCCAAGGAGTGGCTGGTGGGTCTAAACTGCTGACCTTTTGGTCATCAGTCCAGTGCATATCCTACACACCAGGGCAGCCTTGGAAACCATATGGAGGCAGTTCCACTCTGTCCTACAGGGTTGCTATGAGTCAGAATCAACTCAATCATGCCAGTGCATTTGGGACCAGAGCTCAAAGTCATCAAGGCTGAGGAAGTGAATCTGTGAAGGAAGTCCAAAGGAATAATTCCCAAGTCACCACTGACTCAGACCAGGGGCAGTGACAAGTCCCTGATAGCTAAGCACCACAGTCAGATAAGAAGTACCAACAATACCTAAAATATCAAAACACACACTCGCCGCCAGCATCCCCCCTCCCCAAGCACATACAAACTCTCACAGGCAAGCTCACTCGCACTTCAGCTTGAAGGTCTAAAAATCATTCTCACTCCATGTATTCTTTAACCAGAAATCCCTTACCAGAAGCCAACCTTCAAAATTTTCATCCTGTCCCAAACCTTGCCAAGATCCTCAACCCAAGTTATGGGCCCCTGGCCTGAGTTCAGGTCACCTTAGCATCAATAGAGACTATCTTCAGGCCCGAGAGGTAGATTCAGAAGTCCTCACACTAGAGAGACTGCAGGAGAATGGGGAGTTGCGGTACTCACAATGAAGACTCAAGAACAGGACTTAGAAAAGAGGGTGAAAGGGTAAGAAGGATGGGCACAGGCAGGGTGAAAGGGTAAGGAGGGTGGGCACGGGCAGGGTGAAAGGGTAAGGAGGGTGGGCACGGGCAGGGTGAAAGGGTAAGGAGGGTGGGCATGGGCAGGGTGAAAGGGTAGTATATTTTTGCAATCTCTGCTTTAGAGCTTGTTGGTAAGTGCCATTGAGTCATTTCAGATTCATAGCAACCCTGTATAGGATTTCTGAGGAGCAGCTGGTGGGTTTGAACCAACAACATTTTCATGAGCACTCCAGTGTTTATCCTACAGCAGTACAATAGGACTCTTAATAACACTAGTAATCTACTGAGCACTTACTATGTGCCAGGTGCCAAGCAAGCGCTGCAAAAGCATTGTCCAGCAAACCCTCATAACCCTATGAAGTAGGTATCACTTTCTCTGTTTTACAGATGAGGAACACTGAGGCACAGAGAAGTAATATGACTTACTCTAGCTCATACTGGTAGATCTGAAATTTGAACTCAGTTTTGATTCCAAAGCCCACAATATTATATCACCTCTCACCCTACCCATTTTAAGAGTTCGTTTCATTATGTCTCCGGCACCTAATAGAATGCCTGACACATACTGAACACTCAAATGTTTGTTGAATGAACGAAAGGCTCCACCTGGAAGAAGGAAGAAGAGGCAGCGCGGCTGTGAGGCGTGGTAGTAGCAGTGTCGTACCCAGCAGCTGCTGCCCCGTGGCTGGGCTGGAGCC